ACTTGTACAGAGATAATTACCTCTTTTGACTTATAACCTATATTGATTACAAGTCAGAAGAGGTAATCTATATATATATATAAACCATAAGATTATATTTAATTTACTACTAGTACTGTTTCAATAGCTTGCATGACTTAATAAAATATGACTTTTTTTTTCGGTCACATTAATGACTAGGATCCCATCTATATATTCAATAATATTAAACAGTATAATAAATATGAGATCCAAATTATAACAACCCATATGCAATACCTTTCAGTGACAATAATTAGTCAAAATATTACCCTACTTTCCAACTTATCCAAGTCATGAACTCAACATTCCCGATATAGATAGAAACACACAAGAGTTTAATGTCATCTGTAAACTTTATAATTTACCAATTATGGCCCTGTCAGTATCATTAATGTAAATATAAAAATTCAAAGACTCAAGCAAAGATCCCTAAGGCACTCAACTAGTAACTAGGATCCAGTTTTACTGACTCCATTAACAATCTTTTGTTTTCTCCCATTCAACCACCCTACAATCCAATTCACTAATCTTTCTCCAACTCCTTCCAATGTTACTTTTGTAGCTAATCTTTTGTTTGGCACATTTTCAACAGCTTTTTGAAAATCTAAGTACACCAAATCATCACCCATTCCACCATCCAGATGATAAGAAACATCATGGAAAAAATATAACATATCAGTACGGCAAGATTTCCCTTTGATAAATCCATATTGGCTATCTTTTATAGAATCATGTTTCACTAATTGTTTGTAGAGATTCTTTTATCAGACCCTGAAATTTTTCCAACTATACAAGTACAACTAACTGGCATAGTACTGTTAATAGAGAAATCAACCCAAGCAAGATCACCTCTTAAAGTTTATAACAATGATTTATTTCAGAAATTATTAATAGCTTTCACCGAACAGTATTAAAGTATCAATTATAAAATGAAAAGTTTTTTTTTTTCAAAATACATTCTAAGAACCCATGAGTGAAAGCAAAGGAGAGTATGTTACCCATATTATAACCAGTGCTGATGAAATATCCCCTACACTTTTTCACGACTAGAATCAATTTTTTTCATAATATACTCTCATGCACATCCTAGCTGCACAAACTGTCCCCCCTCCTTTTTTCAAACCCAAACTATGCCATTATTGAAGTGGCCTTTTGCCCAATATGGGCATATCGAGCTGTCTGCCACACTCAATATATCTCCTTCCTGTTACCAAGATCACAATACACGGATGAACTTCTTGTCCTATCTTACAGATGAAGTTCTTTCACATACATGCTTACATCTAGTAGGCCTTTTTATACTTTCGTTTTTACTGAGTGAGTCAGTACCTTCCATTGACTACTGTAAGTGACAGAATTTGCAGAGTGCATTAAACTCTGTTGAGATGTTGCTACCAATCAAGACTGATAAAGATGGCTGTCACATTGTTATAATTAGAAGCCTTGGTTACTCTTAGCAAGTTAGACAACACTGGTATAACTGAGCCATGGTAAAATGATGCAAGTAAAAGAGAGGGTACAAAAAAGTTATTTTTTAGAAATTATCTAAATACTTGTTAGAGGTGTGATATCTCAGAGGTTGGATTGTTCAACGGGAAAGAGGAAGAGATGCTTATTGGAATTTTTTACCAAACTACTGATCAGGAAATCTGAACCGAGAGGAATGTGCACACAGATTCATTATGTTGCAAATAAAAGTGAGCTTATGGGTATAAGAGACTTCAATAATAGGAGCACAAATTGAATTAATACAGTTCTCACTCAGGCAGAAGAGTTCATTGATACAGTAGAAGACTGTTTTCAATCTCTGCATTTTAAAGAATCTACTAGATAAGATGCTACACAAGGTCATGTACCTAGTTCTGTGGAGGGTATGGTAAGGGACTAAGCACCAATGATCATAATATTATTACTTTTGATGTTTATAGTGAGGCTATGTATAAGTAAATGTTATGCTTCTTATTGCAGAAAGGTTGGTTTTCAGAAACTAATTTTATTAAATAAACTGGCTTAAATGAAAAAGTGTGAATAATTATTGGGATTTTCTTACATCTTTTAAATCTGTTGAGAAAGATTGTATTTTTTAAAATTTTTATGATCAAACATGATACAAAATCCTAAGAAATTGGTCAGAATGTTAAGTTTTTAATAAATGATAAACATAAGAGTTTAAAGAATATAAAAATCACTGGTAAAATTAAGCTGTTATAGAATTTCATAGACAAACAAAAACAGGTTAAGAAAGGCACAGATGAGGCTTAAAGAGACTATGAAAGCCTCTTAGCTTGTATTAACTGTTATTTCAGATCTACAGGATGTTTATGCTTATTAACAGGAAAAAGAGAGTCAAAGAAAATTTTAGACTTAAAAGTTTTAAATGGAAACTATTGTTGAGGAGAAATATGTAAATGAAGTCTCATAACTTTTTTGTTAGTTTTTATAAAAGATGATGATGATGATGATAAGCTATTTAAGCTGTTTAATACATTTAAAGGAGAAAAGAGCTTATCAAGAATAATATTTTTATTAAAGAAAACAACGTTTTGGAGAAGCTTGATTCTAAACCTCCTGGCCTTGATGACATTCAGCATAAGACCTTACAGCGTAAATAATCAGTTGAAAGAAATTTTCCATAAGTCTTTTAAACACACATGAAATTACTGATTATTTGAAAGCTATCAATGTGTTGGCTATCTTTTTTTTAAACAAAATAAACTTGGGAAGGCCCAGGAATGCTGAATCCAGTGGCAGGCATCACTTTTGAAAGCACTTGGAAGGTTAGAATTTGATTAAAAGCTCAAAACACAGCTTCAGAATGAAGTTTTCTTGTCTTATTAATTTTTATATGACACTTTTGTTAATGTTGTGTACAGAAGGCTTTCAATGAAGTTCCTCCCAACAGATTAATTACACAGATTCTTATGTAACTGGAAAAAACTTGAACATTTGAATTACAAACAGGTTTAAAGATAGAAATATATAGGCACCATTCTAATTGGAAAAATGTGACTACTGAATAGTGCGAATCCTCAATGGTCTTTCCTCGAATTTTTGTCATTATTTATGTAAGTGATATGCACTACTATATTTACTTACATTAATTAATATCCACACATTTTTATAATACAAAGAAACTATACTCCTATTAGGAAAATATATTATTTAAAAAATCAAGGTTAATTGCTTTATAGATTTTATAATGTATACTTGTACCTTGAAAGAGTGTTTCACAGAAAAAAAAAGTTTTATTTTGACTTCAAGACATTATCTTCCCCCCTTTAGGTGTGTGTGTATTACTCTACTTGTCTAACAGAACAGAATACACCTATGTCATGATTGGAAGAAATGTTTGAAATTTACTGCTTGATAGCTCACTGACTGCATGAGAACAGCCTGGCATGGCCAGGTGGTTAGGGCTCTCAACTCACAAACTGAGGGTCATGAGTTTGAATCCTCGTTTCACCAAATATGCTCGCCCTTTCAGCCATGGGGATATTATAATGTGATGGTCAATCCCATTATTCATTGGTAAAAGAAGTAGCCCAAGAATTGGCAGTGGGTGGTGATGACTAGCTGCCTTCCCTCTAGTCTTACACTGCTAAATTAGGGACGGCTAGCACAGATAGCCCTTGTGTAGCTTTGCACGGAATTCAAAACAAACCAATGAGAATGTTTTTGTACATTTTTGTTCATGATTTCAGCAACTTATATATATAATATTCCCTTAACTCTCAACTAGAGAATTTTTATTTTATCATTACTATACAGGGGATCACACTCAGTTATAAATAACTATTTCTTTGCTACAATTTATTACATGCTCCACACTGTATTAATTTAAAATATTCCATGTGAAATTAATATTAAACTTTACACATAAGTTGCTGACACTGTGCAGAAGAATATCCTGTGTCAGAGAAACTGTTGAATGGTAATTGAATGTTGAATAGTATATTGGGAGATCGATGTATATCAGCCTAACTGTTAGACTACATGTCTATAAATGCATGTGTATATAAACATACACCATTTGAAACTGAAACCACATCATCTATAAATTGAGAAAAGAAATGTTCAAGACTAAATGAAAAACAACAGACCTTCTGATTACCTTATTGAGCTGCAATACAGGTTTACATATAGTTACTAGCCACAAACTGTCAGACCTCAATCTAAAGTAGTAATAGAAACTAACACATATTTCCTAATTTCATAAGATGGGCCTGCCCTTGCATAAGATGCTAACACTTATATTTGCTACACAAAGTTAACAGGCATTTCTATACATGTTTCTCAACAAACAAACAAAACACCATGTACCTTGCATAGCCTGACAAGATAATGTGAGTGATTATACATTCTTTGAAATCTCTTTTCTTAATGATTGGGAAGTTTCAGTTTAACTTCTCAGAGCAGAAATCATCAACATTGAAATCTCACACGGTTACTTATAACATCACTCCTGAACTTTATCTTTTCAATGAATGTTCAGTACATATCTATTATTACACTAAAATCATCTTTCACAGTTCCCTTGGTTGTTTTTTTCTGTAATGAGTAAAAGTCAAGCTTTTATGTATATACAACTATATGTTAGGATGGCTGGATACACATGATGTAATACTTAAATGGTATTCTACAGTCTGTAACCTCTTCCCAACTCAAGCATGAACAGGGTATAAGCATAACAGTAACACTGAACATTCCTCCTTAGTTTTCTGTAACAATCATGACTGACGAGCTGTAAGCCATTAAACAGCAAATTAATAACTACTTACTCAATACTGATCATGATATAACCAAAATTAAAACATTAATATTTGCAGTTTTGCAGGTTTCAAAATAAACACCTTATAAATAAACATTGAGTCACATTCAAGCATACAACTGGTGACTAAACTTCATAATTATCATTATATCTTTAATACTAAATATTTATTATTCTGACACTGGTTTATTCTAATATTATATAAACCTACCTTTCCTGTTGCTTTTTTATACCGAGTGATAGCTAAGTCCATCAAGTCTCGAACCAAGATTTCTCCATTCCCACATGGAACTATCACTCTAATATTACCAAAATTAACAGTCACTTTCATTTTTGGCAAAGTTACACTTTAGTTTCCTTTAGCAATATGTAAATTGTACTCAGTCTCGTTGCAGAAGTACAAGAGTGCTTGTACATTAGTTCACAGGAAGGGTTTAGAAAATCCAATCTTTGATAAGATCTTCACTTGTCTTTCTAATTATTTGTCTATTAATTATTAATGTATTATGATATAGATTTTCAATTGTATCAGAATAGTAAAAAAACAAAAAACTGATACTAGTAATAGTATTTATGTGTTATAATAATTCCTTTTACAGTCGGTGGTGGGCTGAGTTTTAAATTTGTTTTAACATAGATGATTCCTTATTTGCATGTCTGAAAATTGTAAAGTAACACCGGTACGCTTATCAACAACTTAAGTCATTGTCTACCTTTCACAAAGTTTCGAGTTTGAAATCACAAATTATCGAAGAGGGATAAATAAATCATTCCAACCAAGCTTACTTTTTATATCTTAATCAAATATTCGCAATTTTCAGGTTCACCTATCATTAACTAAGTAAAACTGAATTCCTCCAAGGTAACTTTAAATATTCTACCTTTTTTTTTCTTTTTCATCATTAATGTAGAAATTCTAAGGGCATTTCTAAAATGAGTGATGATACGGATAGTAGCATTCCATAAAATTTAAAAGAAAAAATTTGGAAACACATTCAGTTTTAATTTTTTAGGCCTAGCTTTTGATTACGTTTACCAACGTTTCGTGTCAAAGCTTAGAACGAGCACACCTGAATCGTGTAACCAACGAAAGCCATGCGGCAGGTGATCATTAGTCTTCCAGGCTTGATAAGTTGATACCTCCCTTCGTTACGGATTCAAAAGAGTTACTTTTTGTAATTTTTACTTCTGAACAATAAGAACATTTAAACTTTAAATACGAAAAATAAAATCGTCTGAAAATCAACAGTAAATTATATTAGCTTCCAAACATCAATTTTCAACACAAACTAAAGAGCAGATTCGGTTAGGAAAACACGATTCAGTAAAACAACATGAACTAAGCTTACTCCAAGCCATGAGACTGAAAACGCGCCTGACCTCACCATGGGCCGTTCGTGTTATGAACTAGTGCTTGATTGGTAGAAGCTGCACAATCGACCTGCCTGTCTGATCCAATTGTAAGCGTCGGCTCTTCAAAAGGAGACAGATGGCGACCGATTTGAAATACTGGCGATAGACAGCTGGAATATGGATATTCGCTAGTGAAAACAACTGTCTTATTCTCGTGAGTTGTAAAATACCGACGGAATCAATAACTCGGGTTAGAAAAAATAAAGCAGATAACACTATTTCTATCTCTTTTTTCTTTTTAAAATGACTTAAATTGTTTGATAAAGTAGAAATATTATCGAAAATAAAAAAAGGTCAGAAGATCAATGTTTGATTGTTTTTATTTTATGGTATAATATAGATTTCGAAAGGTTAAAATCGGGCATAGGTAGAGTTTTTCACGAAACTTAGAGAATTTCTCAAGGAAACAGAATTTTAGAAGAAATATTCAAGTCACAAAGATTATTTACCTACTTATTCTCATGTACTTACTTACATGTTGATTAGTTGTATCAAGTGATGATACCACAGAAAACTTTCATAATTTGTTTTCTACTACAACTATATCTCTCCTATTGTCAAGATACCAAACAGACAGACGTATGTGGCCAACATGGTTGATGTATGTCTCTTCTTATTGTGTTAAGTAATATATCTGTGATGTGTGTAGTAAAAAAAAAAAAAAAAAGCCTAATAATTAACAACTATTTAATTATTATAGAGCGCTGGATCAAAATGTATCCAAAAATGCTGAGGCGTGCACAAAGGGGGCAAACAGGACAACGGCCGACAATAACTAGTTTATGGTTTATATATATGTATATATTATGTGTGTTTAACGTGCCTCCCAGTAGCGGTTTAATTTCAACTTCTGCGCACAACCATGTAAAAGTGGCTTAATGTATATAACATACATATTATATACGTCGTGGGTATATAATATAGCTATGTTGGTAATAATACAAAAATAACAAATAAATCCACAGCATCAATTTTAACAATAAAAACTTCTCATGTTTTTTGGGAAAATCAATATTTGCTTTTAGTTCTTGAATCTAACAAACAAAGGCGCCAGTCGTTTCGATACAATCTTGTTCGCAGATGTCATGAGATGCCCCCCTCCCAGTGGCACAGCGGTATGTCTGCGGACTTACAACGCTAGAATCCGGGTTTCGATACCCGTGGTGGGCAGAGCACAGATAGCCCATTGTGTAGCTTTTTGCTTAATTACAAACAATTCAAACAAAACCCATGAGACATTAAATTTTACAAAGGTAATTGTGAAATATTTACTCTTACAACATAAATAATCATTAGATTTTACATATCTCATGAACTTTTATGTTTGCCAAACTTATGTAAAATTGATAGTTCAATGAGATTGTGCGTAAAACAATTCCGGAAAGCACGGAAAGAATAACCTTCCTTAAAAAACAACGTTTAGCCACCAAACAGCCAATTTCGCTCCTCAGTGGCACAGTGGTATGTCTGCGGACTTACAACGCTAGAAATCGAGTTTCGATACCCATGGTGGGCAGGGCACAAATATACCTTCATGTAGTT